AGTACGTAGTAGTNTGGCTCCACATTGGCCTCACTTTACAATCTTTCTGCCTCTGGATCGCAATCTCTCTTTCACAATAAAAGCCCTAGACATATACACTGCAGTATTACCTATCACAGGGCATTTTAATAGGAAGAAACTCCAGCTATCCTCCAGTTAGGGGAACAATTCGAGGGAACTTTACCCAAGATAAGAACACCATTAAAGAAAGACCCAAAGAAGCCAAATAGGTAGGGGGATGAAACGTGTATTTCTACTAAGTTTGATCAGTTGTTAATAAAGACAGTCTTCTTATTAATACTTCTGGGGGTTTGTCTTTGGGGTTTCTGTTTTGTTGTTGATTCCGACGAATGTTTATTTTTTTGGACAGTAGCCAAGCTGCTAGTAGAGCTGTCCCGAATACCATTTTGCGGGCTCCGGATATTCGGTAGTAATCAGCTGCGAATATTCGGATATTCGGTGCGCGTGGGGGGGACACCTTCATTTTTCAGAAGGTTCTGTTTGCGTTCACACAGGAAAAATTCAAACGGACTATGAACTTTAAACACAAGTCATGTGCACGGAAATGCTGTTCAACAATTGGTCAGAAATGAAGGGGGGGAAAAAAGGCAAATCCCGGCAATTTCTACCGTAGCCTCCGCCATGGGGCATCGGCGGGTTATTTTCGTGCTGCTGTTAATCTGGAGAGCATATCAACAGACTCTAGCAACGGCGCATATGATTATACAATCAGACAACGTGAGATAAAAAACATAACCCATTTTTATTTGAATAACGAAATTGAAAACCGAATAGTAGGCCACGACCGAATATTCGGATATTCGGGTACAGCCCTAGCTGCTAGCCTTAGTCATATTGCATAGGAACAAGTAGATTGACCTTCTTGATTATATGAAATTCCATGGACATAAAATATGTTATCATTGTCTGCGTTGGGGGGTTTATTTGGAAATTCAGCCTGTCCTCTGTTGTTGGTGGATCAGCAGTTAACAAAGAGTGCAACAGTGTCAAACATAATACCACTTGGAAACGCTGGGGGGGTGAAAAAGTGATCTGATTCCACTTTAAATCTGTCCAGAGTGCCCGACTTTATGGAAGTGAAATACCAAATCGCCTGTGTACCTCTCTAATAAACATGTTCATGCTGTGGGCAGATTACTGACCTCATCTGACAGGATTTGCACTCGCCTAGTGCAACTGGGAAGAAAACAACAAACATAAAATAACATTAAAACATTTTCACTTCTCGTCATGCTGATCTGTTCCCTCCTCTGCGGTGTGTCTAGACAGGAGGAGGCTGTAAGCCTGGCAGGCAGGCAGACACTCCACGGTTAATCCAAAGCAATTAGCTCATTTGTCATCCGCGGCCTGCTCTGAGTCTATCCTCCTCCTCCTCCTCCTCCTTCTCCTCCTCCTCCTGCATTCAGCTAAAGGTCACAGGCGGTCATGCCGAGTCAGATGGCTCCGGATGAGCAGACAGACAAAGAGAAGGGGGTTCAGAAGTATGAGGGAGGGAAGGAAAGGAGGAAGATATAAGTGAGGAAGGAAGAAGTGGAAGAAGGAAGGATGCATGTGGAGGGAGGAGGGAAGGAGAGAAAGAAGGACAGAGGGAAGGAAAGAAGAAGGGAGGCTAGCTTTGGAAATGAGAAAACATCACGCTTAGTAAAGATTAGGGGTGTCACGGTTACCGGTGTAGACGGTAACCGCGCTAAAATATTTTGACGGTGAGATAACCTTCTGAATTTCAAAACACGGTGTTATGTCGGTGGGTTAAATTACCGCACACCGTTACACCGGGAGAGCTTTCATTTCCCTAATACTCCCACGGTTACACTGTTACCGCGCTAAATACTTTGCATTTCAAAACATAATGTTATCTATGTGCGTTACTAGAGCTCTACACCACACACGTGACACTTTCGAACGTTCGCAGGCGCCACTAGTCCTAGGTTCTTTTATCACACTCTCTCACTTTAAGCATGGCAGCAGAAGAAGGAAGCCGCGATGGTACCATTTTTCCACCTTCTAAGCGCAGAAGATCAGAAGTGTGGTCCTACTTTGGATATTTAAAAAACTCCGAGGGGCAACTGGTGGAGGACGGTGCCCCCGTGTGCAGGACATGCCGGCGGAAGGTATCCGCGAAAGGGAGCAACACATCGAATTTGCTCACTCATCTACGAGACCATCACCCGCAGCTGCACAGCCAGTGCAAGGTATATTTGTTAATATTAACACATAGTTTTAGCTGAAATGCTCGAAATAACTTTTGCCTTCGGGTAAAGGGGAAACATTTCCCCTTTACCCGAAGGCAAAAGTTATTTCGAGCATTTCAGCTAAAACTATGTGTTAATATTAACAAATATACCTTGCACTGGCTGTGCAGCTGCGGGTNTACTAATTTCCAACCTAACCCTTCCAATTAACTTTATTCTATTATCTACAACTTTATTTTTTTACAGTATTCTGCTACAAATATGAACAAACCTAACCCCCCCCCTCCTTAATAAAGACTAATTGGAATATCTTCTAGTTAATAGTCAGTGGCCTTTTCATCTTTCAGGAACACAACTGAGAGCCGATTAATTAAATACAGAAGAATTATTGGGGACCATCATTTTCACAGTGCATTACAAAGCTCAGCGGTAAGACAAGGAGCTTATGATATTCTGTCGTAGCTCTCTACGGTATGTGGATGTCAGTCTTCTTGAAATTAAGGAAGTTCTTTAAAAAAAAAAAACACACACCATTTGAAAAAAAAAACACTTCTGAGAGGCATTCCCCCAGCACACAAACTAAGTAATCATTCACATCTGATTAGACATTATGTTAATAAATTAATCAACTATCTGTTATCTGCTATAGTGCCCTACCAACCCGCCCTACCAACCCGCCCACCCACAGAAAAAAACAAAATTCTCTATTCAAACCCAAATTTCCAGCATCTATCGACCACCGCTTTCCTGAGCTGAAACGGACAAAAAGTCGACCTTGCGTCACGCTAAACAACATATAAGAGGTGGAGTGCATGGCAGTAACTCGTGTTTTCTTTTTTAAATATATATAACATGACGGACAATGGTATGAAGCTTGTCCACGTCTTTTGCTGTCTTTTGATGATAGTTAACAGTTACACAATCCCATGTTTGTGATGGAATTATTTAAGTCAATTCAGCTCGATTGAGTTTATTGACAACGGGGTCAAATAAGGGTCAATAAGCCTAATTAGAGTAAATGAAATTTGAAAATGAATACAAGGGTTTATTTCTAGATGGAGATCTCACAATCCTTTCACAGGCTCTAAATTATATTGACCTTTTTTTGTCCTATAAAAAGGTAATATTAAAGTAGACAGTTTAAATATCCTCTTTGTCACCGCAGTGTGTAAATACCCCTGTTTTTCATCTGAATTGACCCAAACGCTGATAGGTGACACGTGACCATCCCTGGTGTCCTAAACTCTGTTAAGACTGATATCAAAAGCATTCAAGTGCCTTCAAAACATAAGCAAATGATTTTCGTTGACCTAGATAAATTACAAAGGTATAAAAATGGCTCATATTCTATCACAAATATTAACAATTTTCTTTAGACAATGAGTGCTGTGGAAACAATGGAGGAAAACAACCTGTAAAACTTCAGTCCAGTGAATCTGATGTGCGTCGAGTGGTTTGTGTTGGTCTTCACACGGGGTCAAATCACATCTTTAGCGCACCCAATATTTCTCTAGCACCCTGGGGTATTTATCTTGTGAACTGGGATCAACTGTGAGCCAACAGTTAGTAAACAGGCAGTAACCATGGTTGCAAGTGTAATATTTAGTGGGCAAAGATGTGGTCTGAGGTGAGCCGTGGTTCGGTCCTTATGTGCGCCGGGCCTTCTGTCTCTTGGCCTGACGTTTGGCTTCGTCCAGAGCAGCGTTGTCCGCGCTGACCTGGGACATGCTCCTTACTCCCTGGATACGGTTCACCAGCTGTAGCAGGAGGGGGATTACCTGCAACGAGAGAGCAAAACATGTTCTTACTTGAAAAATGTAAAACACACAGTAAGTATTTTTTTGTATAGCAGTCTTCTGGTTAGGATGACTTCAGTGTTTATCGTTCAGGAGGTTTTCTACCGGAAGCCGTATTGTTTGCAGAGGTCTTCTCTCCAAACAAACAGACTCAGCTTTTGAATATGGTAAAAAAATATGAATAAAGCAGTGTCAAATTAGAAATCAGTGTTTCTCTCATGCAGTTTGGTGGACTACGAATGTTTGGTAAGCTTGTTTTTCTGATAACTTAAGATCAAGACGACTGATGATTGAAATATTTTATCATGTTAAAATGTATTGTTAAGAAAGAATAAGCACATTGTCTCTGGAGTTGAAGTATGGGTTACATTTTTTATCGTATACCTCAATATCAGTATTGCGACAATAGGGTTGACAATTGGTGCTTTCATACATTTATAAAACAAAAATCATTTGATTGTAGAACGAGAAATAGACTATAAAACCAAGAAGCGATACATGAGTTATATGACCCCGCCCTAATGCAGGAGGAGTCAGGGGCGGACTGGCCATCTGTAGAATCTGGAGAATCACAGAACGGCCGGTCGCCAAGGGCCGTTGAAGGCCGGCTCGGTTCGCTGACGGCCAATACGGCCTTTAAACGGCATCATTGAAGTTGCGCTGACAAGCGACAGAGGTCCACCGTTTCCCCGCAGCGAGGCTCCCCCCCCCCGTTGACAGTTCACTAGCACCCCGCCCCTGGGAGGAGGTGAAGAGGAATAAGTACCTTCTCGTGGTTGTATGCTGCCAACAGGAGCAGCAGGGTGAGGGGCAGAGCGATGTACGAGCCCTGGGCTACATCCTGGTCAGGCACTTTACGCTGTGGGGAAGCACAAACACACAATCTGAGATGAGACAAATACAAGAGAAACTGTGACACCATATAAGGGCAGACGAAGGAGAAAACTAATTAAATGAAGGGGAGGAGGGGGAATATTCTGAGTAAAAGCTTGGAATAAAGTTGGTTATTTAAATCTCTGAAAGTAAAGTTGTTTTTTACAAGAAGGAACAACATATATTTTTTATTCATCTCCAATAAACTTATCTTTTATTAATGAATCTTATCCCTAAAATGTTAAGTATTTTCTCTGAATATTACCCCCCAGGAATATATCTCGCTTCATAATAATAGTCAGGTATCCGGTAGTTAAAAACTGGATATTTTTATACAACAAAAAACCCAAGTTTAAATATTCTGCAAGTAAAAAATGTCTCCTTACAGTGGGGTTGAAGGTGAGTGTGATGTGCTTGTGGTAACCGTTGGAGGTGAAGGTGACCTGAGGCAGAGTGAAGTCAAACTGGAAGCGGGACAGCGTGGAGTGCAGTATCAGCACGTAGCTCTGTGGAGGAGGAGAGGAGACTTTGTAACAAACAATAACAACAACAGCAGCAGCATGTCCTCGGTCTATTCAGTTCAGACAAATATTTGAGGTTTTAGCACCAAAAAAAATATTTGAGGTTTTAGCACCAAAAAACGATCTTGAAAATGTTCATGATTAGATCGTTTTTTCAATATACCGTAATTTTCGGACTATAAGCCGCGCCTTTTTCCCCATTTTTCGACCCTGCGGCTTATATAACGGTGCGGCTAATCTATGGATTTTTACAGCTAACGGCCACTAGGGGACCTCCTAAATCTATGGATTTTACAGGTTACAGTCCACCACCTTTAACTCTATGGGCTCTATGGCCGGTCCGCGCCCCCCACCTTTAAGCGGTGGGCTCCAGCAGGAAAAGCTGGAGGCCGGAAAAGAGTGAGACAGGTAGCGCGCAAAAGTAAAAGTGGAACCGAGAGTGGTACGAGAGACAGAACGAGAGCAAGACAGACAGACATTACGAGAGCGAGACAGTTTGTCCCCGTACCACTGGTTGAAAACCACTGCTGTAGATCACTGCCGGTACGTGCGCTGGGAGCGCACCGTTTAAGTTTGAAAGTTGAAAAGTTTGTGTGTCTGAAACGCTATGTGATACAGTACAGTTTACACAGCACAGTACATGTTCTGTAGCTACTATTGCACTAAATGGTAACACTTGAATACGTTATGCAAATACGCAACTTGTTTGTTGAAATGTTAATAAATGGGAGCTTCCTCAAACAGCAAACACACACACACACACACACACACACACACACACACACAACACACACACAACACACACACACACACACACACACACCACACACACACACACACCAATATCATGCACTCGACACGAGGAGAAGGCAGGACTCTGAGACCCTAAGGAGGACTCGAAGCGCCTCTTGTTCGACTGGTGTGAAGTAGTCCACAACACACACACACACTTCTACAATGATTCACACACACACACACACACACAAACACACTTCTGACATGATTCACACCACACACTACAGTCACACATCTACAGATGATTTCACACCAACCCAAAAACCGACACAGTCAACTTCACCTAAACGACACGTAGTCTTCCTGCAAGTCCCAGCAGAGACAAAGGAGGACCTCTACTTCTTAGACTAGGGAGAAGAGACACTCCCGGTCTCGATGAGGACGTCGCCTTCTCCCCCCCCAGGAAGTAGGTCTCGTGGAAGAGTGAGGCGTCGTCCATGCATGAAGTAGTGAGACTCCTGTCTCCTCCTCTACGTCACCTCCTTAGTCGTAAACTAGTGGACGAAGTAGGAAGAATTTATTACAATGTAAAGACAACTATAAGAGGGACAGAGACATTTGGTCACTGGGGTTTGACCGCGGGCGCCCGGTGTAGCACTCGTGGCGTGCTGTAAGAGTCAGGCCGGCGTGCCCCACTGCGACCGTCAATCCGCCTCCACCAAATGACTGCAAGCGGGGGTGAGGAAAAAAAGTTGCAGAGGACTCATTCCACGTCATGGCTCAGGTTTCTCTACCGTCTCACGCCCAGTCATCTACGCATGACCCTGGAAGGGACGGAACCTTTCTTCTAATCACTAGGAAGCAACACTTACAACAACACAAACAGAAGGCGAGGTGTCGTCGTCGGGGGGACGACGGCTGTCTCATGGTTAGTCTCTCGTATCCCCGACGCCTCCCTGTCATCCGACACCCAACCAACAATATGCGAAATTACAACAACATAAGTCTATTTTTTAAAGTCAATCCGATTGACATAGTCGACCAACATAACTTATTGCCTTAACTAATGAGTCAAAGGAACAAGGACTTCACTTACAATGAATACCCACCCAAATATTCTATAGTAATGGCGTCTTGACGACACATGACGTGACAACGTCCGACACACAACTACAACAACACACAACCATCACACAGGGGGCGACAAATACTACTAACTCTCTCTTAAAAACACAACTTTGCCTCACATACCAACACATATCTATTGAAAAACACAATTCACACACCGTAAAGAACATTTACTATTGTAGTAATTGCCTAAGTTTAGTTAAAACACAAACAAACGACCTTACGTACCCGACACACACATAAGTACAAATTTCAATAAAAATTAGCAAAGTCTATTATTATTATTTATAAATATAAGATAAATCCCCCGTGGAAAGTTAAAATCCTGAAATGTAAGAATTATAGGATTCCTTCCAAAATTCGGTATGTTATCTACAGACCCACTACAACAATACAAAGCAAAGTCCCACGCTACTTCTCTCCTCGACGAGGTCTTCTGTGGGTTCTACAACACAAACTCAAAGAACTACTCGGTAATTTTGTCATTGTATGACAAAGAGGACGGAGTGGTATTTGTATGGGTAGACATAACTTTTTCTTTCGATAAGGTTTTCATAAGGTTTTCATTAAGAGCTGGTATGCAAAATTGTGTCGCATTGACATTGACATAAGACCTAATGCATTAAAGGCGCCATACTTCCCATGGACTATATATACATTCCAAGCACGTGTCTCCCCTAACAGCCCCTTT